ACATTTCTTTTCAGATAATGAATGTATCACCTTTAAGACTGCTTGATATTGTGGACTCGTGAACTGATGAGATTCATGAGAACTGGTTGAGCCATAGTCGTGAGATATGGGTCCATGAGAAGGTCTCCAACATCTTTCTACTTTTCAGATGAGATTCTACTAGGATAGATAGAGGAAGACTTGCAAGCAAAACTACTATAAATTTTTGACATAACCACCGTGAGAACTGGTTAAACCACGCATAGCAACGGAAAATCGTGGCTATAGAACAATTTCACTATTTAAAACGTAGCTATAGAACAATATTTACTATTTACCAAATTTATCAACTTTTCGAATTCTTCTCAAAAAAAAAAACAATTTTACTATTTAGCCACAATTTTTTGTCTCTATAAGAACGATTTTTCTGTGGCTAGGTTGAAAATTCTACCAACAAGTATACTTGTTTCATCCAATAATTTGATAACAGCAAACAATCTCCAAACCAAGTATTCACTCTTTGATACCTCAAAAATTCAGCATGTCTAAAATACTAATATATATGACTGATACATACATTATCTCGAATTTCAGTATCGTTAATGACACGATGATACTAAACAAACTTATGAACTGCAACGTCTGGTATTTTTTTTTTGAAACACCGTCTGGTACTTATTTTCGTTTTTATATAAAGTTGTAACTTCAACTATATATCATTACATTAGAATAACATAAAATACATAAATGCACCATTTGAATTTCAAAATTCAACATTATTGGAAACACTTACAGCAAAACACGTCTTGTGACAAAATATACTAATGTAGGGAATAAATATGACGTTGTAATTAAACGCTAAATTTCCTCATTTATTTGTATTTTTTCACAATGATAGGCTATATTCAACAACTATTTAATTAAAGTCTAACCAATTAATTAGTACGGATGCACAATGATTCAAATTCCTGATATATATAATAAAACTCACTAATTCACAGTTGGCATATAAATAATACAATTAAACTATATAATGTTCACAACTAAATTAAAAATCGTGATTAATACTTTCATTCTCTTTCACGTTTCATGGCAAAAAAAAAGAAGAAACGTTAATTATACGCCTTGTTTCTAGGAAACGCGCACCATGGCAAAGGTTGAGGATCATCGACCTACTTTCTTGGTTATTGTCATTTTGTCCTATGATTTCGATTCGACATGAGAAGGGTAGCTCGTTTAAGATCGAACCCGACTCGTCCCTCACTGACTCTTTTCTTCTTACTTTCTCGTACCTAAGATAATTCTCATTCCAAAAAAAAAAGAAGAGGAAAACGTATAGAATAGGAAGAATGTTAATATTCAGTCCAGCTGTGTGTTCTTCGTCAGATAATTTTTACTAATAATTTCATACCGACACCAACTCCAGTGGTACTCCAGATACCTTCAAGTTCAACCCTTATTAAAGACTTTCAGCACATTTACGTTTAGTCAAATTTAACATTTGGAACATTCGAGATTCTTTTAAATGCAAAAAAAAAATTGGGCAGGAGGCTTTTTTCTTTTTAACATCTCTATTAATTGATTACAAAAAAAAACATCTCTGTTAATTTACCTTTTTCAAAATAAAATTTCAAATATGTTGAACAGAAATAAATTTACGTAGAGAATTGTGGGATTATATATGTAACGCCCGACCGTCCACGATTAACCCGTCCACGATTAACCCGTGGACTCCATTCTGTTCTAATGGCTGGTCCGTTAATTTTCCAAGCTCTAGAGTCATATTTACTGACCCTGCAATCACCATATGACTTTTCTCGTGATTTGGTCTCACTTACACGGTATTACAAATCACTTCCCGATAGATCACCCATCCTTTGAGTACTCAAACATGCTTAATTCTGGAGTTCTCTGTGGATGTACTCCCGAAAAAGTAAGTGCACTTTGGTGACATATGTAGCCAAATCAATCATCTTTACCCTTTCCATATATCACAACTCGGAATGTTATAATTAACTTCCTCTCAAAGAACACAATGTCCTCGTTGCGCTCTACAACAGGTATCAAACGTCTCTCAGGTCAGAACTAAGATGGCGAACCAGCTCTGATACCACTTGTAACGCCCCGATCGTCCACGGCTAATGGGCCACCCACTCCCGCTCTCTCGGCCGTGGGTCCCATCCTATTCTCAGCCGGTGCGTTAATTTTCCAAAGTTCTCAAGAGTAATGTTTACTGACCTTGCAATCACCACATGACCTTTTCCCGTGCTTTGGCCTCACTTACACGGTTTTACAAATCACTTCCCGATAGGTCACCCATCTTTTGACTACTCCAACTCAAACATGCTTAACTCTAGAGTTTTCTCTGGATATACTCCCGAAAAGGTAAGTGTACTTTGGCGACATAGGTAGCCAAATCAATCATCTTAAGTCTTTCCATATATCACAACTCGGAATGCTACAATATACTTCAAACCATTTCTTTGGGAGAGAATCTAAACTTGTATGGCGTATGATAGGCCATCAAAAGTAATAATTTAGGCCTGAGTATTTTATCTGGATAAAAAATAATCAAATTGGAGTCGACATGAAAATATTATATCCGAAAAAGAACCAAGAATTTATAAGTACCTAGTTGGGTATAAGATTTGTACACTCGAAAAAAATAAAATTAAAAAGAACCGACCCAAAAAAACTCCGACACAAATAAACTTGACCCAATAAAAACCAATTGAACCCGACCTAAATATTAATATCCAAATTATGATTTCTGTTTGTTATATTTTATATATTTTAGTTTATAATTTAGTTGAAATATTTTTTATTAGCAATTTGCATAATTATTTTTGTAACATTTTCAAGTAATATTAAACTTTAATTGTCAAATTGAGAGTTTAAATATGTTTAGTTTCAGTTATTAATAATTTATTTTTGGTTATTTTGCAAAATTTAAGATTAATAAAATAGATTTCCAAGGTATTTCAAGTTTTTTTAGATCTTAGATACCTGAACCGATCCAGACCTAGACCCGAATATTACAACTATTTTATATATATATATATATATATATATATATATATATTTTTTTTTTTTTTAAATATAGATCCGAGCTAACCTAGATCCGAAGTTATGATCTGAATCCAAATTGAAAATTTCCAAATATCTTGTTGGATCCAAATATATAGGATCCTAAAGGAAACAACCCAACGATGCCTAATCTATTATGTTAAAGTCTGCATTTTCTCTAAGACGAATGAGATGTTTAACCGCAAACCCAGCTGATTCTATGTCACCTAGAATTCTCTCACGCCACACATAATAGGTCGTTGCTTGGAAGAATATGGTCCATTTGAAATTATTTTATGTATATTTCTTAACCAGGGTGTTTGTTTTTTGCTTTGTAAATATAAGTCAAAGTGCTTCATGTTTTGTCATAATCATAACGAAATATGCAAAAATTAACTGTTGATTTCCAAATAATCATGTAATTCTTAAGAATATCACCTAACTTCATTCAAAAAATCTGGTCTTCGTAGAACTCATCTCTTAGTTTACTTGTCAAGACGACTCTGCATTCCATATTCACAAATCAAAACTGAAAATTCAAAATTCAAAAACCAAAGATCATTTAATAAGCCATATTCTTTTATCATTCTATGAGCCCATTCAGCCCAATAGCTTAATCTTTTTTTTTTCTTTGTTCGTCTAAAAACAAATTATGAGCAAGGAGCAGAGAAAAAAAAACCCGAAACGAAAACAAACACCCGACATTCATAATTCGGTTCGGGTACACAAATAACCCAATCAGATTCATAAAAGAGAGAATTATGCAAATGCCCAAAATTGAAGTCAATATTAGGGAATTACACATGAGTTGACATAAGTGTAAAGTTTTGTACAATTTGGGATTGGTTGGACACTGATACCCTTCTTACAATTGGCTGACACTCTCTCTCCTTCTATTTTGCAGCCACACTCTCTCTCCTTCTATTTCCATTTTTATTTTTATTATACTTTTTTTATTTTCACATTTTTTCTTCCAGATATTTTTTTATTACGTTAAAAATAAATTGATATTCTAAACAAAGCACCCTATAATAAAAGGAAATTTATTGACGTCTCTTTAAAATCGCCGGAAATTATCACTATTATCGATAGTTAACATCTATAATATTGGTTAACAAAAGTGTTAGATGTTAACGATACCCGAATTGTTAGCTGTTAATAAATATTGTAGATGGTTAACAAAGATATTAGATGTTAACAAATAGATGTACCAAATATGGTAACGTAGATGTTAGTTGTTAATAAATAATGTAAATGTTAACAGAGATTTTAGCTGTTAACAAAACATGTTCCCAATGTTAACAGAGGTGTTAGTTGTTAACAAGTATACGTATCAGAGGTGTTAACAGACTGATAGATTTTCAATTTTTTTTAAAAAAAATCAAAGTAGATTAAAATAAAAAAAATAGTAATTTTTCTTTTAACATTCACTTAAATTACAAAGAGAAAAAAAGAAAAAGAGAAGAGAAAAGAATAAACATAATTGAAGAAAGAATGAAAGAGAGAGAGTATGAGTGTTTCTAACGAAAATGAGAAAAAAGCTGATATACCCACATGCAAGAAAGAGAGAGAAAATGGCGATTTCGTCATAAAAAAGAGATGAGTCTCATTATGGACATTTACCTAATATAAGCTTCCAAAAGAGTGTGGGAGCAAATAATCTCTTCATAAAATCAGTTTCCGGTTAGGTCCGGATCAGTAACCGAATATCTCCCAGTCGGTAGAATTAGGGTTTAGTAGTCTGTTTCTTGATTTCTCTCCTCTCTCGAAGTAGCTTCATCTCCGACGAACAGAACCCTAACTTTGTAGATTTCCGGCGAATTCCGACTCCAGAATCTCAGCAAGGCATCGATTTGGAGGTAAGCGAATTCTCTCTCTCTTGTTCTTGATCTGAGAAGCGAATGAATTTTGGTTGAGCGTTGTCGTTTTATGTTCAGTGCTTGAGGAGTTTCACAATGGATGGTGGTTTGGGTGAAAGCTCTTCGGGAGGAGAGAAGCCTGTGATTGTTAGGGTTAAGCGTAAAGTTGGACAGTCTCCGCTCGATGCTATCTGTAACTTTCTTTTTCTTTCTCTAAAAAAACAAAAAAAAAGTTTCTTTCTCTGCTCTTCTTCTTATTATTCTTGAAGTGCAAACTAAATGTGGGTGGCAATTTAGGGTTGGAGATAAATGAAAGACCTTTCAAACGACCCTTACTCGACTTCTCAAACCTATCTATCTCCAATTCCGGAAAGAAAGGTTAGACCTTTTGTACTTGTTTCTATGATCATGGTTTTGGAGTTTGGACTCGCTGCATCTTTTGAATGTTGTTCATGTGGCAGTGGTAGTGGATGTGAGGCCCAAGAAGGTGCTTGTGCGGCATTTGGAGACTGTCACAGACTCTGAAACCACTGTTGATATCATCCACTCTCTGTTTGTAAGGGAACGTTTTCATTTTGGTTTAAAAGTATAAACTTTTACATGTTGTTGGTTCATATGTTCTGATCTTGTGGGTTCTGCAGGAGTCTGATAATAATGAGCAGAGTTGCAGTAAAGGAAAGCTTGAGGATCGGAAACTTGCCTTCAGGAAAGATAATGTATGTTGTTTTAGTCTCTTGTATACTAACTGCTGAAAGCTTAAGTTCTTTTTTTCTTTTTGGGTCTGCAGAGAAAGGAACAGCGCTTGACCAAAGCTGTACAACAGCAACAGGTAACTCCGGCTCTTAGTCATGAACATTGTCTTACATAGATTAACATTTTAGGTAAATGAATCGAGACTTATTTTAACCAAAAGTTCCACTATTCTGATAGACTGCTGCACAGAATGCCCGGTTTGAGCAAATATGGCGGAGAAGGAATGGAAACAAGGAAGGCATCCATGATAAAGAGCTTCATGAGAGGTGTAGTTTCTATGACGTTATTCGTGTTGATACTGAAGAAAGACCAAACAATGCACCAGAGTAAGTTCTCTTGTAAATATGCATTTCTGTTTTAAATCGCGAGAGTTTAGCTTTGGTTGAAGTATTATCACAATTGCTTTAGGGTTACATCCTTGGAGGACCAGAAAATGCTGGCTAGTTTCTTGCCTCTCCTTAGAGATTGTATTCCTACAGCAGCTGAAGAGATTGAAGCTGATATCCATGCTAGTCATACGGAAGAATACGTTTATGATTTCTATGCTGTAAACGAAGAGATGGATATAAGTGAAGACAGTTCTAAGCACCAGTTTCCTCTGTGCGTATCTTTCTTTTCGCTGAACCCCTTCTCTTAAATTGTTTTTTGTCACCTGCTAATTTCGGTTCTCGGGGGTTATCTTTAGTGTCATAGTTGAGGAGGAAGAAGAGTTCTACGATGGACCTGATGAATCAGACTATGACTCTGAGGATTCAAACGGTACACTTTTACCTATACAACTGCTTATTTTCCATTCTCGTTGAACTTCTTAGACCAGTATTATTACCATCCTAGATACTGAAAGTCAAGAAAGTAGTAATACTAAACTATATATATATATATATATATATATATCTTTATATGATTCAGCTGAAGATCATCCAAGGAATGATTACCCAGAAGAGGAGTCTGAGGAGGAGTCTGAAGAAGAAGAAGAAGAAGAAGATGAGGAGTCTGAAGAAGAGAAGAGTGAAGCCTCTGATGAATCAAAAGACGAGGAGACTTCAAAAAGACATTTGAGAATGGTCCTTGATGAAGAAGATGAGGAGTTCTTGGATGGTTATGATGCAGAGGATGTGAATGTTTATGGGGATAGCGATGAGGAGTTTGAGCAAACTAAGTGGTGTTACCGGTGAGCTTTGTGTAGCAAAATGAAGATATGCTAAAGAGACTAATAGTGTAAGGCTGTGGATCAAAATAGTTCATTTAGTGTTAAAACAAAACTAACCAAAGTTTGTTGGATTTATAAGAGATGAAAAAGTTTCTCCTTCATGTTATTTGCTTACACCAAAAAGGAAGAGAAAAAGTGGTAATGATGCCTAAAAATGTAATTTTGTTGCTGGTTGTAAACTCACTTTTCGTAAAGAAACAGATTTTTAAATCTAATTCTGTATAATTAAATACAAAAACATCATCTGTAGTATTTTATTAAAGAAATAATATTAAAAAGTTTTAAAATTTTAGTCGGCGGTCAGATTCAATCCGGTCCGACCGGCCCAAATGTGATAAGCGTAGGGAATGGAAAAATTAAAGAGACGACATCGTTTAAAGGTCCTGAATAGTAGCGAATTCTTAGGGCTTCCGCGTCTCTCTTTCAAATCACAATAAGGGTTCTCTCAGACTTGGATATCGTCATCGTCTTCACCGCGAAGCTGAGTGGAAGATGTTAACAGCAGATATACCACCGAATCAGTCAATCTACATCAAAAACCTCAATGAAAAGGTCAAAAAAGAAGGTACTCTCTCTCTTCTCTCTATCTGATTTCCTCAAAAATCAGTTTCAATAACTCGTAACCTCCTCTGTGAGCTGCTCCGTACCAATAATCTCCCCCTCAAATTCATTAATCCAGCTGGCAAGAGTGTTTAGTGTAGGTTTAGCTGCTATAGAGTGTTCGTTTCTGGCTTCCTAGGGTTTCAGAATCGTATTGAATCTAGTGGCGGAGTTATGAGAAAAGTAGAAGTATTTGTTGGCTTCGAGGTGCATTATGAGTTGTTTAGATCTGACGTTGTTTGTTGGTTTTGCCAGAATTGAAGAGATCTCTTTACTGTTTGTTCTCACAGTTTGGGAGGATACTCGATGTGGTTGCTTTGAAAACTCCTAAGCTCCGTGGCCAAGCTTGGGTTGCCTTTAGTGATGTCACTTCTGCTACTAATGCTGTTCGCCAGATGCAGAACTTCCCCTTCTATGATAAGCCCATGGTCAGTTTCCAATAAACTTTGTCTTCCTTCTATGTGCTATAGCTAATGTATTAACTTTGTGTGTCTTCTCAAGTCTTTTGATGTTTGTAGCCCCTTAATAATCATATTATCTTAGTGTTTTCAGCTGTCATATTCTTTGATTCTGTTTCTTGTATGCTTTTTTCAAATTACAGTCTTGTCTCTTTCGGGTGGGTGGATGAACTATTTAACTGCTTCCAGTCATGTGTATGAGCTAATGTGTGGGCTTTCTTTGAGTGCAGCGCATACAATTCGCTAAAGAAAAGTCAGATTGTATTGCTAAAGAGGAAGGGACTTTCGTTCCCAAAGATAAGAAGAAGAGGAAGCAAGAAGAGAAAGGTAACTGATACTAGACTATGGCTTTTAGGTTAAGATGATGGTTGTTTAGTCTTGCTGTTTCATAATTTACTTTGTGTTATTGGTTTTTTTAGGGGGGGTTTTGATTAACTTGTATAAGAAATAAGAAATCAACTTCCAAGAAATTCTCCAAGATAGTTTTTAGGAAGCTTAGCTTAAATCTTTTCAATCTCTCTCAACAAAAACTTTGTTTTGTCTTTCACTTGCATGATTACATTCAGCCGAAAGAAAGCGTGAAGAAACTCAACGACCAAACACAGCTAATGGCCCAACTCCACAGAACGGAGCCCCCCCTGCGGTAAGTGCAATCATTGAATCTCTGAGACTTCTCCGTTACATGAATGTATTGTCCTTGGAAATGATAATGATCTTTGCTTTTATCTTTACATCTTAAAAAAGCCATCATCGTTCAAGCCGAGCGGACAAGAAGCGATGCCACCGAACAACATACTCTTCATTCAGAACCTTCCCCACAATACGACAACCGATATGCTTGAGTATCTCTTCAGTCAGTATCCGGGATTCAAAGAGATAAGAATGGTTGCAGCTAAACCAGGCATTGCATTTGCAGAGTTCGAAGACGATGTTAAATCTTCCATGGCTATGCAAGGTCTTCAAGACTTCAAAATCACTCCCCAGTTTCCAATGCTCATCTCTTTTGCCAAGAAATGAAGAGATATGCTTGTGTTTGTTTGTCTTTAAGATGATGACAATGCGACTTAGTGTGTATAACCGACGGTTTAATGTTTTGGTTCCATTGACTCCGGTTTGGTTTAATCAGAGACCCTTAATACGCGGTTTCACACAATTTTTCAGACGACTTACGGAAAACAAATCTCATTTGTCAATCTATACTATTATTTAAGAAGTAAATTTGCTTAGGTATCAACTTCTCCTTGATTTTAGGTAAATTTGTTTATTTACCTTATTTAAATAGTTACATATCCAATTTATTATTTAATAAAAACAAATTTATATTAATAATATTATATTTTTGAAAATATTTTAATTATTTTGTATTAAATTGTTAGTTTAAAATATATTTTCTATTATAAAATTCAAGTGAAATTACTGATTGATTTGTAACTTCTCCATTATTTTTGTAATTTTGCTTATTTTTGTTATATTTTGAATAGTTTTATGAATAATTTATCATATAATACAACGAAATTCTATTAATAATATTATACTTTTAGAAAATAAGATAATTCTTATATATTATATTGTTATCTTTAAAATATATATTTTTATCATAGAAATCAAAAAATAAGTTAAATATTAATAGTTTAATATAAAGAAAGCAATGCTGATTTATCCACTTTTCCATGGTTTTATATTTTGCCTGTTTATCATATTTTAATAATTTCATATATTTTATTAAATAATATGACGAATGTATACTAATAATACTAGATTTTAAAAAAAAAATATTATGTATTGGATTGTTATCTTGAACATATATTTTCTATAAGAAAATTTAAGTGAATTAGCTGATTTGTAATTTCTCCATGATCTAGATACTTTTGACTATTTTTTATATTTTTTAATAATTTTATATAAAATTTATTATAAAATAACAACGATTTTCTATTAAAAACTATATTTTGAGAAAATAAGCTACTTCTTATGTATTATATTGTTATCTTGAAAATATATTTTTATTATAGAAATAAAAAATTAAGATAAAAAACTCATAATTAAAATAAATTAAAGCAACACATTTGTAAAAATATATTTTTAAAAATATTTTGTTATGTGAGTGTTGTCATTTATAATTAATTTTATAATATAAATCATAATTTATTATATTGGTTTGAATTAATAAAATACATACTAATAATAAATTGTACGAAAATTATGTCCGCATGTGCGGACAAAACACTTAGTTTTATATATAAAACTTAAATTTTAAATTAAGATATAAAATTATTATATTTAGTATATAACTAAAAATAATTTATATAAATAATTTTTATAATTTTATGAAATAAGATATTTCTTATGTATTATGTTGTTATGCTGAAAATATATTATCATATTATAAAACTTAAAATTATATTATTAATAATTAATAAAAATCATCAAAACAATTATTTGAAAAGTGAATTTGTTGATTTTTCTCCATGATCCTATGTAATTTTGATAATTTATTAGAATATCTCTCATTTTGTTTATGATTGATTATATAACTAAAACTAATTTCTATTAATAATATGATATTTTAGAAAAATAATTAATTTTTATGTATTATGATGTTATCTTGAAAATATATTTTTCTATTATAAAATTTAAAAATAACATGTAAAAAATCTTTACTATTATTTAAGAAGTGAATTGCTGATTTGTCATATTTTTCATGATTTTAGGTAATTTTGATAATTTATCATAATTTCTATAATTTTCTACATAATTTATTATATATTTAAACTAAATTTTTATTAATAGTAACATATTTTTAGAAAATAAGATACTTCTTATGTATTAAGTTGTTGTCTTGAAAATATATATTTTCTATTATAAATTTAAAATTACGATATAAAAAATTTACACTAATAATATTATACTTTTAGAAAATAAGGTAATGCTTATGTATTATGTTGTTATCTTTAAAATATATTTTTATATTATATAATTTAAAAATAAAATAGAAAAATATCTATAATTAATTAAATATAAATCATCACTCAATAAAATTATTTAAGAAGTGAATTTGATGATTCATTAAATTCTCCATGATTTTTGGTAATTTTAATTATAATTCATAATTTCTATAATCTTATATAATTATTGTGTAATTAAAATATTTTTCATATTATATTTTTAGAAAATAAATAACTTATCCATTATATTGTTATCTTAAAAATATGTTTTTCTATTATAAAATTTAAAATTAAGATATAAAAATTTATAATTAAATATAAAATAGTAAAATATTTGTAAATATTATAATTAAATATAGATCAAGAAAAATAACTATAAAAGTATATTCTTTTTTAATATTTATGATGTTTGGGTTTTGTCATTGATAATTATTTGATGTTTGATTTGTATTTTTTGAAAACATAAATAATAAATTATTATGCTGGTTTTTAAATTAATGAAACATCAACTAATATTCATAAGAGAACTATGCCCGCAAGTGCGGGCAAAACACCTAGTAGTTATGTAAATATTAAATAAAAGTTGATATTTTAGACCAGGCAGAAAAAGACAAGATAAGTAAACCTTGCTGGATACGTCTTCTGAATCCTCTTCTCATAGATCATTTCTCTGGGGAAAGTTTCTATTTTTAGCAAGTCCTTTTGTTCCTGTGACTGTGAGGTTTGGAAGTTCATTCTCCTTTTAGTAACAACACTAGGTGATAACCCGCATATATGCGCCGAGTAAAAGCGCCGAGTAAAATTTATATATCAATAATTATTGAATATTAATTTTGATCGTTTAACATTATGTCATAATTTTAATAGTCAATAAAAAGTTGATGAGTTGGGTAATATTGTTGATATTTTTGATTTTTGTAAATCTATTTACATTGGGTTTTAATAATATATTCGAATGTTAAAATTCGCCATCTCACTTTAATATGAAAATTGTATTTTTAAAATAATAAATAACTTTTAAGAGCCGCGCTTGAGCGGAATGAACATTAATTATGTATACAAATCATTTATGCATATTATTATTTATTTTATGTTCATTTACATATTATGCACTAAAAGTATATCGAATAATTGAGAAGCGATTAACTATTATGTATATGGTTAAAGTGGAGTAAACATATTAATAAAATTCATCCCTCTTTGTATTTACAAAATTGATTTGTTGATAAAAAAAATCAAAAATAATTAATTATTTATTTTATATGGTAAATAATTAAACTTAAATTATATTAACAAAATTATATGATATATATTTAATATGAATATTTATTAATTGAAGTTCATACTCATATGATTTAACTAACATTTTATATTTACTGTAACATATATTATTTTAATTTATATGAATATTTATTAACTGTTGCTTCCACCTCAAAGCAAATTTTAAAATTAATATGTTTATGTATTATATATATATATATATATATATATATATATTTACTCTGAATATATATTAAAGAGATTTCATATTTATATGATTTTATGATCATTTTTATTTTGTTATAATAAAGAGTTAAATCATTGATCACAAAAATTTCAGTGTTGATTTTTAACAATTTTAGTAATTTATAATCTTTTTAAAAAATTAAAAATATAGCATATAAGAAAAATTCTAATTTTTATTATATTATTAATATGATTTTTTAGTTTATTTTAAGAATACAAAATTAAAAAAAAAATGATGAAAGATAGAAAATTGTTATCAAATTTTTATTATTCAGGTAAAGATTTTTTAATTAAACTTTGAAGAGATTTTACATGATGTTGGGGTGAACTAAAAATTTGTTCTCATTCTTTATTGAAGTTCTATTAAATTTTCTTTATATTCTTGACTAAGAAACTCCACCAAAACACATTATAAAGAAAAAATTCATAAAAGTTACTATTAACAATATTTTAGTCACAGTAAATTTAAATTACTTATAAAGACTTTAAAATTTATGTTTGGATAAAACTATATTTTATTTTAGTAAATACTATTAAATGTATTGACTACATTCATATCATGTCTATAAATATATACAAAAAAAGGAACCTTATCCCCTATATATTAATCATGGAGCATTAGAACATGTTTTCGTAGCCACGTGTCATCACCAAACAATTCTAAGAATCTTTAGAAAAATAAGTTGGTCCATATAAATATATACTATACTTTTTATTAAACTAACTATTAAAATTATTAGTAGTATACAAAACAATATTTGTTATTTCTTTAAATAAAAGCAACGGAATTACCTAATATGATTAAGTATACAAATTAATTTTTAACTATGTAGTTTCTAATATGTTATTTGATCCTCACAATTCCAGAATTCACTTCTTTAAATGGACATAATTTTTAATATTTGAAGCATTATATATATATTATTTCATTCAGATTAAATACTTTAGTCTTTTTATTTATTCCTTAACAGGCTTTTAATAAAATATCATGACATGATTTCGATCACCTTCTTTTGAATTTCTTCGAAGAATGATAGATTTCATAATTTTTCTAATATTTGTTTTTCCATAATACCCTATCTAGCTATTATAATTTTAAGAGTGAGAGATGTGAACTATTTATTATAAGTGTTCTGGTTTATTATTCAATAAATCAAACAGTTTTTTAGTTTATACATAGTTTATATATATACTAGAAGGGTAAAGTATTATATATATTTGTAGCGGTATACTCTTAAGAAACTAAATATTAAAAGTTTAAATTAATAAAATAAGTAATTTTTTTGTTGTTTTAGAATTAGATGATTTTAGACCAAACTGGTGAATATATACTAGACACACATTTATATTTTGAGTATGTAGTTAAATTCTATAAGTGTTTGATATATTAAATTTGAACACTAACCTGTGAATAGAGTTTGCCGATGATTTTCTTCAAAATTTGATTCTTAGATATGTATCTGGAGTGGAACTAATTTTTACACATGTCTATCTTTTTAAATCGACACTTATGTAATGTATCGAATTTAAGAAGAAGTTAAAAAGAAAAATAAAACTCATATCAATGAAATATAGAAACGAGAATGAAAGCACAATTTTATAGAGGTAGAAAATTAAATCACTTATGGAGAGTTAATAGTAAACAAATCGAGAGCAGAAAACCTAATCCCTTTTTGTCATTTTATCACAAAACTTAATTTCTTTTTGTCCATATGAAGTCTTAGAAATAATTACAGTGAGTTATACATTAGGTCTGAGGCTTTTACTCTAAGCCGAAGTACATACCTAAATCTGAACTGAAAAAAAAACGAATCCGGATCCGAGCAATTATACAAATATCCGAACTGGACTTATGAGCTTAGTACTTTGGGTTTTGGTTATAATCTGAAACCGAACCAAAATTTGAACTATGATATGTATAATATGTTAATGTTTTTATATATGTTAAGGTAATTTATATATTTTATAGAATTCGAAAGATTTTATAATTTTTTTATTTGTTTTTAAATATCTTTTAGTTAGTTTAACTAATTTGAAATTAGATTTATGAATAATTTAAATATTTAATAAATTGTCAACTTTTGAGGTTTAAAAAATATATTTTGTGATGATTTTAGATTATAGGTTACAATTCAATCCAAACTGAATTGAGAAGGAACCAAACTGAATCCAATCCAATAATTAGTAAAACCTGAATGGGACTTATGAGCATAATACTAAAATTTGAAAGTACGTTTCAATCAAACCAAAACTGACGAAACCACAAACATCCAGGCCTGTGATAATTTAAGATACTAACATTTGTATTTGTCATTTTACAATTTATCGTAGTGTGCAAAATTTTAAAATTATTTAATGAATAAATATCTATTACTATTAAAAGGGCGATATGAGAGCCAAAGAAGCTGTCCACATAGGACAAAATAATCAACCACTAAAATTGGAGCATTTTGCCATGTCATCCGATTGTTTAAGAAATTTCGTACGGGCCTCTTTGACTTGCAGATAATTTTGGACAATCTAAGCTTATATTTCATCTAATCATAATTACGTTATCTCTTTGTGTCTTCTCCTCGCCTTTCGACTTCCTCATCTTTGTTTCTTCTTCTCTCCAGTTCTGTTTTTTCCATCTGTAAAACCACCTCTACGAAGAACTCCATGCAAAGCTCCCCGAGCGTGGATTTGATAGGTCAACGGATCCTGAGATATGTGTTCGTTCATTCATTATGTGACTCAGCTTCAAATTTGTCAATTATAAAAAAAAAGTTTCTTACTTTTCAAAATCATGTTTAGATATTAAACATGGGCTTCTTATCATTTTTCAAAAACAGTCACCAGCGGAGAAGAAGAAGAAGAAAGAAACAACAACAATGGCGGAAACACGAGTTGAGATCTCAGATCCAGAATCCGAGTTCTTCGCTTCAAATCAAGAGACAGGAAAAGAGTGGGAGCTTTACAAGGAGAACGAAAGACCTCTCAAGGGAGGACGCAATGTTAATCTCCTCAAGCAAGCTCTCAAATCTCACACAGATCACCACTTAAGAAAAAGTCTCATCGAGAAACGAAGGTAAAAAAGCTTTCAACTTTCATCACATCTATAGCTCTTCTGAGTTCTTCAATTCTAATCGTGTCCGTTGATTTAGGAAGTTGATTGAAGATGAAGAGTACAATGGCAACGACCCTCTCTTTCCATGGATCCAGTGAGTTTCTTTTTTAAAAAAAATTGCAACCTTTTTTTAAATCGGAAATAGAGATTCTTGAAAAACATGAGCTTTTTTTGTTTCAGGTGTATAGAATGGGTACAAGAGGTATTTCCACCAGGTGGAGAGTGTTCGGGACTGTTAGTGATATACGAGCAATGCGTTCGTAAGTTCCGGCACTCGTAGCATTATAAGGATGATCTTCGTTATCTCAAAGTTTGGTTGGAATATGTAAATGTTTCTCTTTCTCTCTTTTTAAGCTCTTTTAATGATCTTTCTTTGTGTGGTTAGTAAATGAAAGTGGTAATCTTCTTTATTTTTTTTTTAAGGTGGAGCATTGTGCTGATGCGGAAGTGATTTATAAGTTTTTGGAAGTTAATGAGATTGGGAAGACATATGCTTTGTATTATATAGCTTATGCTTTGCATATGGAGTTTAAGTCTTAAGGTTAAAACGGCCAATGGGATCTTTAATCTCGGAATCTCTATGTAAAATCTGGTCCTTATTTCAGTTTTGTGGTGACATGGTCTGATTGAGAAGTGTGGGACTTTTGTGTAGAAATGCTAAGCCTATTGAAAAGTTGAATGATGCTTACAAAAAGTTCATAGTGAGAACTATGAGAAGGCCTAAAAACAGCTGATGAAGTAAGAAGTTTTCTTCTGTTTCTTTATGCCTAATGGGTTTTCCACGTGATACTTAATGTTTCTTCCACTTACAAGCAGGAGCCTAAGGAGAATAATATGCCGTCAAGAAGCTTTGGCACTGTGTTGTCTAGGGGAGATAATAATAGTGAATGTTGCATTAACTTTTTACCTTTTGAAATCACTGAAATTTTTTTATAAGCTCTCTTAACATGACAATGTTATCTATAGATGCAGGAAGGCAAGCTTTAGGAACACAAGTCAAAAAAACACTGAGATCATCAGATAGGTATTGGTGTCATATGTGTTCACAAATTGTGGATCCAATCATTAACGCTGAGATCAAATCCCCCCTTTGCCAAAACGGGTTTGTAGAGGAAATGAGCGGTGAGAATAATGTTGGCAACAGAAACAGCAACAGCCTAACGGAGATTCAAGACTCAGAGATTGATTTCAGTACAGACTGTGCATTAACTCTATGGGGTCCAATCTTGCTTGGGATGACAAGCAATCATCGTAGACGTAGAAGGTTTAGGAGGACAGAGCTTGGCTTATATAACGATGAGGTCAACGTTCCTGCTCCTAATGATGTTGATGGAAATGACAACAATGTCGATAACCATCATCATCATCATCATCATCATTATAACCGTCGTCGTCATCGTCACATGCAACATGATGGAGAGGCTGATCTAGGCAGGGAGTTTGATTCCATCATCAGGAGGAGACGGAGAAGCTCAGCTGCGATATTGCAGTTGCTTCAAGGCATTCGTGAAGGGCTTACCACCGAGGATGAGAGCTCGGAAAACAGGAGCCAGTTTAACAGAGCAGCTTATAATCTAATCCGGCCACTACTTGTCCTTCTCGAGCTGGAGATAACTTAGTTGGAACCGGGTTAGCTCACTTGCTTGAACATCTAGCTGATAACGAACCAATCAGACACGGATCTCTTCCAGCGCTTCTTAGAAGGTCCTGATTATTGAATTAAGAAGACAGCAGGATATATGGTTCAGGAAATACATGTACAAGTGGTAACACACTAACAAGAGCTTAACTTAGCTTCGCAAATGCTCGCGCTCAAATGGAGAAAGAGCGTGGAAATCTTCTGAAGGCTTTTGGCACACATGTTTCATAACCGTTTCACTTGAACAGAAACACTTTCTTTATTAAAAAAAAAAAAATCAAAGCTAAGTTTTGCATGATGAAGTTATTAGGTCGCTAAGCCATTAAGGGAAATGGTGATGGGAGCTCCATTGGTGGATGCTCGACATTTAGCGGAACGCTATGAACGGATGCGACAAGAAACTGGATCTCAGGTTATACAAATGCAGCGCCTCTCTTCTTTTAATGTTGTGTGGTTTTTTTTAACTAACATATTTTTCCTGAACTTACATTAGACTATTGAAGTATCAAAAAGAAAAGCTAAGGTTAGAGAGAATTCTGGTAAACATGTGTTCTGTCTTTACATAGAAGCTTTTGTTAGTGTCGTTTAAGACACCCACCAAACTGAATCGGGTGGGTATTAGCATGACATGTTCATTACATACAAAATGTTACTCTTTCCTAGAAACACATGTCAATCTTCAATAATTTATTAGCGTAATATTTTATTGTTTATCAAGGAAATTTTATGGTAAGCACCTTTGGTTATAGACTGTTTGTATACATTTCTTGAAATATTATGTTTACCTCCTCCACCTCCTTATAGAAATTATGTACTACAGATTAGCGCCATTTGTACTGCATAAAATATCCACAACGTACATACACATAAAACAGACAGGCGAGACTACATTAGAAAGAAAGAACCAAGACTTTGACTATATGCCAACCTCTGCATCCTTAGGAAGAAGATGATCCAAATAAGAAGACTTTATGATTCTTTTTTTACTTCTTTTCTCTTGCTGATATTTGTACTGCAGAGCTGATGATAATATACTATTGTCTCCTCTCTGGCCAACTCCTTGTAACCTGTGATACAAAAAGAGACCAAAAACAAACTACCTAGAATTATAATATGATTACTACAATTATTTTCTCGGCAAAAAAATATAATAATAACAGCCAAAAAGACTCAAATCAATTGCCAATTACCTTTAACAACATTTATGAAATTTCTAAAAATATTCAACAAATCAACTGTTTATCTTTTAGCAAGTTGATAATTTATTAGATCCAACACTTTAGAAATTACACACTTTAGAAATTACAAGAAAATTCCACAATTATGTTTATCATGTATATCTCTAGAGATATTAATTTTAATGGGAAGATTTTAAACTCATAATCACTAATTATACAATACAAATCCAATAGAAGGAACAAAATAATAAAGAAATCAAAAATTTAAATAATTAGAGTGCTAACTAATTTTACAGCAAAAATATTGTAAATAATGTAATATGTGTTTTATCATCATTTACATCATTTACGTTTTACATTCTAATATGCATAACTTCATTTAAATATTTTATATTTGTCAAAGTTTCCAATACATATTACATATTAAAATGTAAATAATATTTTAGACTACATTAAAATTTAACGTAAATAATCCCGGGCGTAGCCCGGGAAAAGTCTCTAGTTAATGTAAAAAGCTCACTCCTTGAATGCGCACTGGTTATCATCTAATATTTATTAATCATAGTTTTAACGAGGAAAAATTAACTTTCAACTACAAATGTATAAAATCATTTCATTATATTCGACTTGTTTTCAATTTAAATCAATACTCAGGAGAAAGTCAAGAGCTTTTCTTCCACTACCATATACATTTTCAGTAATCAAATTTGCGAATTTCTTTTGGTGGGAAAGAACATTAACAGAAAAGGTACACAATATCTTGAAGTAGTATAGTACTTTTTTGTTTCTTTTATTCATTGATATCGGTTCCTTAATGCATAATTATTGAGGCCTTTATTAATTTGTTCATATATAGCAAATATTTAAACATTCTTGAACTTTATATGATTGAAAATTTTATATTATTTGAACCATATGGTTTGTTTCCCAGCTTCAAATTAATGCTTTACCATTGGTCTACCTACATGGCTACATCTACATGTGATAACCTGCATGATTGGTCCACTCTTTCTTTAAACCCTTAATTAGCCGTCTTGAGTTCGTTTATTATCAATAAGTAATCCAGACAATTTATATTTAACCACCGAAACTTTAAAACCAAACAAACTGGTCTAAATACGTTGCATTACAGTTGAACATGCACTTATGCTAATGCTTTCATAATTTGTTTTGGTATAATAACGAGTTAAGACTCAAGACCACAGTTTAAAGAAAGTCGTCACATTAATAATTTAGCAAGTTGGTCCAATACTATGATTCAGTTTCAGGTTAACTATTCAGTTTCATTTTTACTTGACATTTAACTATTTAGTTACTTCATCTCAACCCAATTAAATATTTCGTCAGTGAACTATTAATTTCTTACCCATGCACACACGATTTTACCTTTCGTATTATTTGGTTCGCTTTAAAGAAGGTTTTAATTTGTTTTGTATCTGGCAATATATTTTTTTTTTGTACCAGGGAATTTTATCCTTAATTGTATTACAATTCGATTCATGTCCTAAGATCCAAGTACATATGCTTAGTGTTCTAAAACTAAAGATCATATGATCTTGTCCTCATTGCCACGGACGACTGAAAATTAGAATATCGATTTAACATAGATTAGTACCTTACAGATGTTTTTTTGAACTTCATCACCAATATAATTTTTTTTTTAAATGAAAATATTTCCTCCGGGGATGTTAATAAGATCCTGTTTCCGATCTAATAAGAAATAAGAATAAAGAAATAACGAAGAATGAAAACATTAAACACTAGTTAATATTATCCTCAGAGATGCTATCCAGGTGAGGCTGCCACATGGACACCGATGCCGACCGACTATGTCTTCGACGGTGACGATTCTCTTTACCGGCCGGACAACTCTTTTGCGATGATGACAACATAACATCCTTCAAATACTTCTCACACAACGTCTGATCAAGGTCCTTATTAGTACCACTCACCATCTGACCACTATTGGTGTCATTGGCGTTTCCAAGAGTCTTTTTCTGAAGTCGAAGATCTTTTTTCTTCTTTGTTTTCTTCTTCTCCGGCAAGGAAGTATCCGGTATAAGAAAATAGATGCTTCCACGCTTAAGCTCAGACTCAGGAGACAAGATCAAGATCTTACGTACAACTCCTTGAGAACATGGTTTGCTTAAGACATGGTTAGGGTTCGCCTGAAGGATCTCACCGGCTGTCATTGGACGAGTGATCTCGTCTACGTGGCCGTTGAGATGTACGATGCGGATCATATCTAAAGATCCACATGGAAGTACACAAGCCAAACAACACCGTAAACTGTTTCCCATATCTTTTTTTTGCTAACAAATCGTTTAAATTTTCTTAACAAAAATGAAAGAGAAAAGATTGAATAAGTTTTTAAGTTGTTATTTGTTGTTAATGTGTGTATATTGTTTTTGTGAGGAAGACGAGGTTACGTATATATAGAGATTAGAGTAAACAAAAGCGATTCATGAAGGGAGCTTAACCATACGTATACGGATGTCTTATTTACTGGAATGCCCTTCCTTCTTGTTGTGATTAACTTAAGCAGCCCACTTAATTAGTAGTGTTCATTTCATATCTTTTATTCCACTCAATTAATCTACCTATCTAAACCACAAAATTTATATAACATCACATATCCTTTTCGTTGGTCAATGTTTATCATTTTTCTGGTCTTTAAGTTTTGCTGTCTAATCTTTTGATAACTAAAAAAATATTGAAAATATATCGTTATAAAAATTAAAGGTCGTTATAAAATACTAATACTGAAATTAATAAGTGATTAAGTAATATGATTATTTCCGGAACTAATCATAAAGAAATGACATTTTAGACTTAATCATTTTGCACAAAAAAGACTTGCACCAAACTACTAAATGTTATAACATATGCGTATCCAATAATGAATTCGTAACAGCTAATTGTGGACCCTCATATTATTGCATCTTCAAACACTTTGGAGTTATAATAAGTTCTTATAGATACAGTAAAAAATTAATAAATTAATAATGTTTGGGATATGATATTTTATTAATTTATAAAGTTATTAATTTTAAAATATAATATTTTTCTGTTTTAAAATATATATTTTTCTAAATATAAAATATTTTATTTTAGTGTATATACATTAATTAAAATTTTAAAATTTTGACATTTATATTATTTTTATTATATTATTTGTTATATATATAAAAATATGGTTTTAGATATAATTTTAGTAAAATATGTTTTTTTGATGCGGAGAGAACATATCATTATGCAAAACTGTTTATCCATCGAAGAATTATAAAGAGGACTTCATCCTAAAATTGCATGAAATTGTTCATTAGTATACACATCGTATATGTTAGAGGTAGCTTATATCATTTGTAATTGAGATTATATAATTATGTACCAAAAAATCCGTATCTCCAATTTTAACGTTTATAGATTTGTAAACATTTGTTCAGTAGCCGTCTATATTTTTTTTATAAGAATTAAATTTTTTATTTGAGAATTTATTTTTGCATGTTACATAGAAAAAGGAATTAAAAATTTTCATAGTTAAAGGACTTGAACATTCTTGGTGTAAATCATGAAAAATCTCGACAGACAATGGATAGGGCTGGGCATTTTATTCGTTATATTTGATTCGATTCGTTATTCGTTTCGAATCGATCCGAAAATTCCGGATATCCGTAAACTTTCGAATCAAAGCAAATACTAAAATTAAATATCCGTTAAAATCGAAGCAAATCACAAATAGTGAAATTTTGGGAAGCGGATATCCGATCCGATCCGTAAATATATAAATATATGTATATCTTGCATATATTTAACATTTTAAATGTATAAAATTATATAATTATTATTCTAGCATATGATTTTGAACAATTCTATTCAAATTATTACTTATATAAAGTATTACATAAAAATAAAGAAAGAAAATTATGACAATTATATTTTT